CTTAGTTAACAGGTTGCGACCGCAAAATTTCACTCCCGAGCGGCTAAATTTAGTATTTGTGTATTTATGCACTTTATAACTTTGTTTGCTAAGTTTCAAATTTAAATTTTAACGTAGCAGGCAACGTAGTGAGTTTTAGCGTGTCTTACGCGGTGTGCGCATTATAACAAGTATTGTTCGCAAATTAACGAAAATATTATACCCCGTTACCAAAACGGGGTACAACAAATACCAAATTTGTGGTGTCAGTGAATGGAAGTTCAAGCGCAAGACGTTCATCCTTCAGCTTCATAATTTTACACAAATGAATTTTGATCACAATTTTCAAAATATATTTGTTATTTTTGGTAATCGGAATACAATTATTACAAATTTGTTGTACTTTACAATTATTCTCTGATTTTAGCCTACTCTAAAAGCTACGTAAAATTTGACTACGTAAAATCACAACATCTCGTTTTTAATTTAAATGATCGCAGAAAGTATTTCCAGAGTAAAGCTTGAGACACGACGTGGTTTATAGGTCAGGCTTACTGTAATGATTTTAAACATCAATGGCGATCATATTTATACAAAAGATCCTCGGTAGATGCTAGGGTGGGTTTGCCATAGTAGAAAAAAGGTAATTCGCCTACGACATGCAAAGAAGCTAAGATGGAAGATCTGTTCAGAGAATACCACTTTTTTCTCAGAGCGGAAAACGAAAGATTTTTCAGTATATTCTGGTTACTATATACATGAACGTGACTTATACAACTATATATATATATATATATATATATATATATATATATATATATATATATATATATATATATATACTGGTATATTAATTACATCTGATGGCTACTGGAACTGAAATAAATAACAATATCTGAATGGCTAAAGATTAATGTTAAAAACCTAATAAGATGTGGTAATTTGAAATATCTTTAAAAAATTAAACAAGACTCTTGTAGTCACATATAATAATTTTATTTTTTTACTATAAAGAGGGTCATGGGTCAACGAAATACAACTTGTAACAATGTGTTTAGGGAGACATCAAAAATGTCGTATACAGAAGAAGGAAGGAGAAAAATTCCTGATTTGCGTCAATACATGACGTTTGATTTCGTTGAATTAAATAAAAAGGTATATTAGTACCAATTAAAAGCTTTTTTATATTAATATTATATTTCAGGTCGCAATGTTTTAAAAAAAACATAATGCGGAGAAATCTAATCCGACCAGAGTTGCACAATTGCGCTAAAGGTAATTTTTTATTTAAAAAATGTAAGCACTTTGCTGCTTTTTACACAGAGCGGAAACCGTTGCTTGCAAACCTCCGGGTAGATAGCTGGCAACTAGGACGCGCTTGAAGGATATGGTTTTGGTATGAGACAGGTGTAATATAATTTTCACTGTAATCTGTGATTCTAAAAGGCTGCTGGTACGGCGATGGTAGATTCGAGAAAGTGGGAAAATTTCATGATTAAGGTGCGCCTGATACGGATGCGTTTTTATCTCTAAAGGAGTTGCTGATTGGTGGCTGGCTCGAGTGGGTCGCGATTACAATAGATGAGCATTCTCTTATCCTTGGCAATTATTTGCTATAGTAGTAAGCCGTGGAGTTTTTGCTGTCGGTGATATAACTAGTTATTTATAATTAGTTATACATAACTTGTTTATTCTAGATAGATAGTTAATGATTTGGCTATACGGTCTAATGAAACTGTAGATCACGTGAAATTAAACTAAATTTACTACATGGAACGTGGCTGTTATAGCTTAAACATTTAGTAACTTTTTACGTTATATATATATATATATATATATATATATATATATATATATATATATATATATATATATATATATATTACGTAAAAAAGATACTAAATTTTTTACGTAATATATATATTGGTGAAATAATACGATTTTTAATAGTACATGACAAAGGGTCATCAAAAAGGGCAGGAGAACGTCTGCCTGACAAGTTTGTGTATATATATATCATCATCATTACACCCTTCACATGTCCACTGCTGAACATAGGCCTCCCCCAAGTAACGCCACAAAGCACGGTCCTGAGCCACCTGCCACTCCATCTAGTGGGGGGTCGCCCTACACTACGCCTACCGGTGCGAGGCTGCCACTCGAGAACCTTTCTTCCCCATCGGTTATCGGTTCTTCGAGCCATATGGCCGGCCCATTGCCACTTTAGCTTACTAATCCGTTGAGCTATGTCGGTCACTCTGGTTTTACCGCGGATATCCTCATTTTTGAGTCTATCACGCAGTGAAACTCCGAGCATAGCCCTCTCCATAGCTCGCTGAACGACCTTGAGCGTCCTCGAGGAACACGTCGCAGATCCGTAAGTCATCACTGGCAACACGCACTGGTTATACACTTTAGTTTTCAGAGATTGAGGTATACCTGACGAGAAGATGTGTCGTAATTTCCCGAACGCTGCCCAGCCGAGTTGGATTCGTCGATTGACCTCTCGGTCGAAGTTGGACTTACCAGGTCGGACTATTTGTCCCAGGTAAACATACTCGTCAACAACTTCGAGCATAGTGCTCCCAACGACTACCGGCATAGGTGTGACATGGACATTAAACAAGATCTTTGTTTTGTCCATGTACATCTTAAGACCTATCCGTTGGGAGACACCAGTGAGGTCATTGAGCATAGTGCCAAGGTCCTCCAGCGATTCTGCCATAAGGACTATATCGTCGGCAAATCGAAGGTGAGTGATGTACTCGCCATTGATGTTAATACCGTATCCTTTCCAGTTCAGTAGCTTGAAAACGTCTTCCAACGCAGCGGTGAAGAGTTTCGGGGATATAACATCACCCTGTCTTACACCTCTCTGCAGTTGGATAGGTTTCGAACTCTGGTTCTGTACTCGGATAGCCATCGTAGCCCTACTGTACAAACACTTCAGCGCTTCGATATACCGGCAGTCAACTTGGCACCGCTGAAGGGACTGTAGCACCGCCCAAATTTCGACGGAATCAAAGGCTTTCTCATAGTCCACATATGCCAGGCAAAGTGGCAGATTGTACTCTTCGGTCTTCTGTACAATCTGCCGCAGGGTATGTATGTGGTCTATGGTACTGAAGCCTTTTCGGAAACCGGCTTGCTCGGGAGGCTAGAAGTCGTCGAGTCTGCGTGCGAGACGATTCGTAATGACTCTCGAAAACAGCACGTAGACGCGGCTCAGAAGGGAAATCGTTTCCGTGTCTCCTTTCTTAAAGAACAAGACCACCGCGCTTCTGCTCCACGCCTCCGGAGTAGTGCCACCATGGAGGACGGAATTGAAGAGCTTCTGAAGGACTTCAAGTACCGGTGTTCCACCCGCTTTCAAAAGCTCCGCTGTAATTCCATCCTCGCCCGGGGCCTTGGCGTTTTTAAGTTGGTGGAGAGCCATTATAATCTCGCTCAAACTGACGTCCGAGATATCATGAAAATAGTATCGTATAAGACTTGCTCTTGGATCGTTACTCACACTTGCGTGTGGCTCCAACGATGATGTGTACAGCTGCCCATAGAACCTCTCAATCTCACTCAGAATCTCAGGTGTCCCGGAAACGATGTTGCCACACTCAGTCTTCAGCTTTGACAGTTGGCTCTTTCTGGCAGACAGATCTCTGGCAAAGACTTTGGAGCCCTGGTTCCGCTCGATCGCTTCTTTAATACGAGCAGTATTAAAGTTGCGTAAGTCTCGCCGCATGCATTTGGAGATCTGTCTGTTCCGTTGCCTGTATGCTGTCAAATCTGTTGACGATTGCCGCCTCATCTCCCTTCTAACAGCCATGAGATTAAAAGTGTGATCGGAGAGTTTTTGTGTTCTTCTGCGGCGGGTCTTGCAGAATACTTCACGAGCTTGTCATTCATATCGTCCACTGCACTGCAATCCTTTAGGCACTGAAAGCGGCTTTGTAAATCAAGCTGATATATATATATATATATATATATATATATATATATATATATATATATTATATAAGAATATAAATATTACTTTCAAATCTTAAGTAATACGATTATGTATCCGTAACGAACAAAACTAAATTCAATATCGTAATAAAACAAGAAGTAAAGTTTGTTGTTACAGAGCATTAAGTGAGAACCGTAGTTCAAAATGGGAGACGATTAGTACTGCAAACATAGTTTGTTATCATTACGGATGATTTATTATATCTATGCGGATGATCTACATATTTTGAACAAAGACTAATAAAATAACTTTCTATGTAGATGAAGTATTTCATCAAGGAATAGTTTATAGGTTCACTGTGTGATTACTGCTTGGTAAAAATTCAACGAAAAATAAAATTTAATTTAAGTTAGAATTGAGAGATAAAATATTTTAGCAAAAATCTTTTACAAACTGAACTGAACGAAAAATAACATTAGATAAACGAAGTTAAATCAGAGTTACATATAAGTTTTAACATAAACTTTGAAAGTTTGTTACTTGCTTAACTTTTTCTTAGGTTACTACTACAGATTAGCGTTATATGCACTACGTAAAATTAGCATAAGGAAAGTTTTCCTGTGCCTCGAAAAGCAAATAAAGCCTTTAGTTTATTGTAAAGTTTGTTATTGGACCAGGGCTCGACTTCTCTCCATTTATGAGGGAGGAAACACAGTGCTTACTCATACATTTAGTGCACTAATAATCCTTTACAGGCGCAGATGGCTAGTCTTCGTTGAGCTTGACCACTGTGACCGAAATTCAGTCTGGTCAACATTACATATTAGGTGTTTTAATGATTTCTTAAATTTATGCAAATAAACAAACACGACATTGAATCAAACTAGCTTTATGGATTTTATCGCGATTAATTTAACTTATTTTAATTCCCGACATTTCGGGTGCTTCACAGCAAATTTAAAAGAAAAATTCAACCCGATGAATAAAACCTGTTTTATTCAATGTTAAATGTTTTTATTTTGTACATAGATTAAAATATATTAAATACTATTAAACAAAGAAAAAATACACTCACCATCATCGTTGTCTGGCTCCTCAATTGTCCTAGCTCCGTCAGGAAGATCTACTTTCAATCCTTTAGTTTTAAAAAACACCTTTATTAATTTCATTAAATATTTGGCAAACTCCGACCATTCTGACAAAAAGCTTCTTGGTTCTTTCACTAGCAATTCTTCTTCCGCATTTGTTGCTATGGTTTTCGTTATTTCTTCGTCTAAAGGTACGAAGCTTATCATTTTACCAGCTCTTATCGTCTTATTCGTATATAGGTCACCAAAAAATGTATTCGTGGCAATTTTTATAGCTCGATATTTCATACAAGATAATGCTTCTCCTTTTATATAGCAAGCATTCTTCACAGATCTGAGGTATCCGTCTTCTACGCTTTTTGCTTGTTGAAAGATTGCTAGTATAAGAATAATTTGTAGCGTTGATAAATTAATACAGAACATGATGAAATGTGCGCTTTTCTGAAAAATAAATTTTCTTTGCATTATTGATTCTATAGTGGTTCTAATAGACAGAACAGAATTAGTAACACCGTTCTTCATTTGAAAACAAAATTGTAAAATAAGTTCGTTCTTCGCGTCAGTTTTATTAAAAAAAAATTGGAATGCTTTCGCGCAATGGTTAAAATTAGTCAAGACATCCTCATCTTGATTATTCGTAATACTTCTTTCTACTAATCCTAATACCTTGGCGTAAGGTGGCGTTTACTTCAGTGACAGTGATCGACTGTGAAAATCCAAGGGTATGTGCAATAAAGGCCGTTAGTGGTGACCGATCCATATTGGTATTCAGTATTTATATGCCAGTGGATAAAAATGAAAATCTAATTGAGTTCACGGAGTGTTTAGGTAGAATTAGTGCTATCATTGAAAGTAGTGCGATAGAAACAGTTTACATTGTTAGTGATTTCAGTGCTCACCCAGGTGAGCTATTTGGTGATGAATTATTAAAGTTTTGTACGGATCAGTGCTGGCAGTGCGCTGATATGACAAACTCGGTATGTACTCTGACTCTTTTACATATGTAAGTGATGCACACGGTAGTAGAAGATGGCTCGATCATCTTTTACACACGGTCATTCCCTTTAAGTATACTTGTGACCTACAATTGTAGGTCTAAAATACCTCAAATATTCTTAAGAATAGTAAAATAATATGGGGCAACAGAAAACCAAATCAAATACTCAAATATAAAGAATATTGTAATTCGAAAATTAGAGATATGCATTTACCGGTAGAGTTTTGCCATTGTTGTGATCGTATGTGTACATACACATACGATCACAAAGAGACTTTAGATAAGATGTATGAGGCTATAGTAAATACCTTAAGCGAGGCCGCAATTATGACATATGAAGGTAGTGCCATTACTGCCAAAAAAAACTGTAGTCGGATGGAATAAATATGTAAAAGATGCTCATAGGGAGTCCAGGATTCAATTTGATAATTGGTTACAATGTGGCAAACCTAAAGGGGGCATTGTGTATGATCGTATGTATGAGAGCAGACGTCAATTTAAATCTAAGTTAAAATGATGCCAGAATCGGGAAGAACAAATTAAAATGGACATAATAGCTACTCAACATTGTAATAAGGACTTCAAAAATTTTTGGAAATCCACAAATAAATTAAATGTGCGGCCTGGTCTTCCTGTGAGCATTGGGAACACTAATGATAAAAAAGAGATTGTTGAAAATTTTAGGCAATATTTTAATGTTGACTCTCCTTTAGGGCCCATAAATGGTAAAACCTATACGGAAGTCCCCTTCGACACAAACCCGGTTCGCTTCACAGCTAAACAGGTGGGTGCAGTGATTATGAACATGAAAAGGGGGAGGTCTCCTGGGTATGATGATCTTAGCATAGAGCATTTGCAACATGCTGGTGGCCATCTTCCTAGGGTTTTGGGTTTGTTCTTTTCACTGTGCCTACGACATAGATATCTACCTAATAATATAATGAGGACTATTGTGGTGCCAATTCTAAAAAATAAAACTGGGGACATCTCGGACATAACCAACTATAGACCTATATCGTTGGCTACAATATTAGCAAAGGTACTGCACGGTCTACTTGATACGTATTTAAGAAAATATTTGCAGCTACACGATGCTCAATTTGGTTTTCGGACTGGGCTTTCAACAGAGAGTGCCATCTTGGCCCTTTAAGCGAACCGTTGAGTACTAAACGGACAGAAAAACACCTGTGTATGCCTTGTTTTCTAGACTTGTCAAAAGCCTTCGATATGGTTTCCTATGAAAAATTGTGGAGTAAGTTGAGGAAAACCGGAATACCTGCTGAACTTGTTGCCATGTTCGAGTATTGGTACAACAATTCAAATAAATAATGTCAAATGGGCAGATACGTTTTCCGATCCATATAGGCTAGAATATGGGGTGAGACAAAGGGTTTTAAGCTCACCGAACCTATTCAGCCTGTACATTAATGACCTAATCGGTGAATTGAGCAGCATGTATATCGGATGCTATGTAGATGGAGTTTGTTTAAACAATTTAAGTTACGCCGATGATATGGTGCTGCTGGCCCCGTCTGTTAGTGCTCTTAGAAAATTGTTACGCGTTTGTGAGGATTATGCTGTTAGACATGGTTTAGTATACAATGTTAAGAAAAGTCAGTTTATGGTATTTAGAGCTGGAAAAAAGTGTCCAAAGAATGTGCCTCCTATTTTGCTTAATGGCACTGCCCTAGGAAGAGTAAAAGAGTTTAAGTATCCTATATCCATAAGGCCACTACATAACTGAAAATTGTAGATGATATGAACATCGAGAGGGAGCGAAGGGCACTGTCGATCCGTGTCGAAATATGTTGATTAGTAGGTTTGCGCGGTGCAGCAAGGAAGTTAAGATTACACTCTACACCTATTGTCAATCTTTTTACGCATGCAGCTTATGGACAACGTATACAAAGCGCTCTTACAGTGACCTTCGTGTTTTATATAATAACGTTTTCAGGGTCCTGTTGGGGCTGCCTCGATTTTGTAGCGCATCAGGGATGTTTGCAGAAACACGAACAGATGACTTCTTCGCAATAATGCGTAAAAGAGTGTACTCGCTGTTGAGCAGAATACGTGGCAGCCGCAACAGTATAATGAACGTGTTCGCCGAAGGATGTGACGGGCATAATTATGCTAGATTATTGGAACGATTTGTTGAAAAGTGATTACTCATATTTAAGAAACTAACATTAGTGTTTAAGGTGCACAATTACTAATAACTTATATGGATCTATGTCTGAAATAAAAGAGTTATTATTATTATTATTATTATTATCATACTAATATTATAAATCGCCTTATAATTAAACGTGAACGGAGCCGCAGGTAAAGGCTAGTATTTTATTCTTCAATTATTTTAACAGACGCCCATCGGGTATATTAAATTTAAAAATATTTTGGAGCTATTACCTGTGTTCTTATTTGTCTATCTGAGAGGGTTTTTAGGGCAAGGAAGTGTCCACCGCGTGTTGGCGAACTTCACATGTCTTCGAAATATTTTTTTTCTTATTCCTCAGACATGCAGGTTTCCTCACGATGTTTTCCTTCACCGCTTAGTACGTGGTAAATCAGTACTTAAAATTGTAATTAACAATTTCATTGGTGCCGGCGGGGATCGAACCCGGGTTACTCGCGTTCTGTTATATTTACAGCGAGTGTTTACCATCTGCCACGGCTCTCCCTCACACCTCTCAGAAATGAGGGGAGGCCTGTGCCCAGCAGTGAGACGTATATAGGCTGTAACTTTAATTTACTTTATTTGTCTATAAGCTTACGCGTTTAAGGATTTATTAATATAGAAAAAAGTAAAAGTTATACCTATACACAGTATATTTTTTAAATGAAATAACTCGAGTGGAATATAAAGTACAAAAACAAATATTTTGTAAGCGTTTGGAATATATAACAAGAAATATAAATTTATACGTATGCTATTTATAACTTATTATAATTTTATCATCTATAGTGATATTGTAATTAAATGATAGAAATTAACAACCGCTTTCCATGCTGTTTTATTAAATCAATTTTTACCAACTTTATTTTTATTTTTATCATACTCTCCATCTGATTGTAAGTGTATTTTTGATAGAATACACACAGAGATACTGAAATTATATTTATTTTATAAAATAAACCCATAAAACAAAACCTTAAGTCTCGCTCAGACAAAAATGTAAGGAGAAGGAAAATGTAAGGATTAATATATTAACTTTGATCCCCAAATATTTATGAAAATGTAATGTACGTATGTAATGTCTACTTCTGTTTCTGTTTTTGCTGGCCACCTGAGTTGAATCCGTCGATTGACCTCTCGGTCTAAGTTAAACTTACCTAGTCAGACTATTTGTCCTAGGTAAATACACTCGTCAACATGTATTGCTTAAACCAACTACCGGCATTGGTGTGATGTAGACGTTACACACGACTTTTGTTTTGTCTATGTTAATCTTACGACCTGTCCGTTAATAAACACAATAGAAGTTATTAAGCATAGTACTGAGGCATCCGAGCGATTCTGACATAAAGACTATAATGTCGGCAAATCGAAGTTTCCTTATGTCGTTGCTTATGGGGGAGACTATTTGTCCCAGGTAAATATACTCGTCAACAAGTATTGCTTCCAACAACTATGGGCATTAGTGTGATGTAGACGTTACACACGACTTTTGTTTTGTCTATGTTAATCTTACGACCTATCCCTTAGGAAACACAATTGAAGTAATTAAGCATAGTGCTTAGGTACCCGAGCCATTCTGACATAAATACTATATTGTCGGCAAATCGCAGTTTCCTTATGTCGTTGCTTATGGGGGAGACTAATTGTCCCAGGTAAATAACTCGTCAACAAGTATTGCTTCCAACAACTATGGGCATTAGTGTGATGTAGACGTTACACATGACTTTTGTTTTGTCTATGTTAATCTTACGACCTATCCCTTAGGAACACAATTGAAGTCATTAATTATAGTGCTTAGGTCCTCCAGCGATTCTGATATAAGTACTATTTTGTTGGCAAACCGAAGGTAGTTTCTTAATGTCGTTACTCATGGGGGATGTTTTCCATATTTGCAGCGCTCGGCAAGCGAATTGGAAACGCAGTTTTTGTTTCGCAGTTTTGCTGTTATCAGAAATATGCTGCGGCCCATCTCCTGTGCCAGTTTCCCGCTTTCGTCACTTATGACACCCACGGAAAGATATTCCTACACCGCCACTTCACGGATTGTACGGTGGGTGTCATAAAATGTGACAATGGGATATGACAAAAATAGATGGCGGTTGGAGCACCTTACTTGCGCTAGTTATAAAATAATCAGATCCAGAAGGGAGGCAGGGTCAATGATGCGAAACATCTGGAATTGCGAACGTTGATTCGCTACTAAAGCGTGGCGATTTTTCTTTTAATCGTATAGTGGGGTGGTACACCCTATCCAGTGGGAGAGACCTATTCCCAGCAGTGGAATTCTGAGGGCTGATGACGAAGATGGTGATATTGAATAATATTATTATCGTTATAAGCTTAAAAATTCTTTATAATTTAATTAAAAGTGCGAACCTAGTTTCTAGTTCAAAGTTTATAACTTACATCGTTAGCCTCGAACGACATAGATTATCAATAACAAACTTTCCTACTCTAAGAACGTCTAGAGTTTCATTTAGTTGTGGTTAGTAAATACTACGGCGTGGTTATTACAAAGAACAAATCGATACTATATACTTTGATTATATACCGACAAGTATATAATCAAAGGCTATACATACGGATATAAATAATTTCCTTACTTGTTATATAAATAAACAGCACAATTTAAATCTAGATTTTAATACAAGATACATTAAGTGCATTAAATAAATTAAGTACTTTCTTTAACTTCATCAAGTTTGCTAAAGATAAGTTGCTCTGGTTAAAGAGAGTACTGTGGAAGTGTTAGGAAATCTTTTCCTCATTTCGTCCCGAAGGTGCATTAAGATGCACCGTGGCTGTCAAAAGATGGTGGTAAAACCATGTAATTTACAACAGGCGTAAAATACTCAGACCGATGACAGGAAGCATAATTTTATATGAAATAGCGGTGAAAAGCAGGCACACAGTCCACCTGATCGTACGTAGATACTGTCACACATATCCATCTACATCTATCCTGGTTAAGTAATCAAAACGTAGATACGTTGTCACTACTGAAGACTAAGATAGAATGTCTCATTTCCGCTGAAAAGAGACTCCAAATTTTGCATTTAAAACACAGCAGTATTAAGCTGCTATTTTACGCTGGTACTCTGTGAGAGCGTCGTACTTCCCCGTTCAAGTCGACCCATTCGCGCCACAACCATAATAAACTGTAGCATGGCATGGTTTAACAGGAGTATTATTTTCTATTTTATTGGTTAAAATCGCTACTATTCTTTAAAAACGTAATAACATAGAAAACGTTACGCTAAGCCACGCGTTTGTTTAACAACTTTAGTTCTCATAAATTACAGCTTTAAGCGTTAATAATTGTAACATTATTTATCGTCACATATTCCATTCTCATGTTACGCTCATCTAAATGTATTATTAGTTTGAGTTAAAGCAGATTATTTCTATCTCACCGTGTTACTTTTTTCTACATAACTGTTAGTTTTATGAGTAAAATTTAAATGAAAGTGGTTTACCGTGTACGGAATTTTTACTTTTATTTTTTGAATGTTCTTAAATATCTAAGCGAAAATTGTAAAAGATAAAGTTAAAAACCGACGGCTTTGTATTTCACCAACAATCATGCGTGTGGAGGTAAATCTTATCTATCTAGGGTACTAATAATGTCAACCAAAGTTAATTTCGACCAGTTAGACCGGCCATCTGCGCAGGACAGGATTGTAGTGTTCAAGTATATAAGCAAAAACAGGTGCACTCTCGTAGTCCGATAACATTGTAATCCCACACGACTGGAGAGAGATCAGACGTAAGACCTACGACTTTACGTGATTAAGAGGCGCCGAAGACATCGCCAACATCGTGACTGAGAATCGTGACGAGCTGCTACTGAGAATTTAATGCTAGAAAAACCCAATCTGGTTTTGGCCTGACCCAGGATTCGAACCCAAGACCTTGTGATTACCAAATGAGTTTACGACCGTCAGACCAAAGAGGTATTCTAAAGAACTTAATAAGCATTTAAGTAAATTTGTACCCAAAGAAAACGCATTTAATATTTCTCTTATATTTTCTCCAATAATCGTAATTATTTTCGAATGCTGGCTTTCGTGCAATATCTAAAGAGGTAAAATTTTATACCGTCCAATTTTATATTAAAATTATAAATGCAATAGTGCTCTTAAAATATTTATTTCATTCAAGCCAAACTTCATAAGCTGAAATTATATTTAGATTGTCAGTGATAACATTTATTTTGCAATAAAATGTGTTACTATTCAATCACATTGCTCGCTCTCATAATCACTAGCTATGAAAGTGGTCATCATAAATTTATGAATTATATTTATTTCGAAGTATTTATTGACTGATTTTAAAATAAAAAACGGTTCATACAAAATATAAAGCGCTATTTTCTATAAACTTTGTACAAATATTATAGTTCAAAGCAGATTACCAAGAACTAACTCCAAATAAAGTAGTTGCATTGTTATCCCTTGAATATTAACTACTAACAATTTTTGCCTTTTGAATAAATTTTTTGGGACTGGAAAATACAAGTTAAATGTAACAACTGAAATTTCATCTAAACATTTACATTAAAGCTTTCATTATTAGTTTTCCCCTCGTAAGAATAGGATTTATTCCGTAAATTTATAGGGACAACCCATAAATTAAAACACATTTTATAAAAGAAGAATCATTTAAATCAGTTAGCCATTTTCAAGAAATTCGTGTTACACGTGTAACATTTCATGTTCACATAAAAAACGTGGGTTTGAAAATAGAGACTCCTCGTTTTTTAAACTCATTAGTAAAATATTGATGAGGTAAAGATGATCAAAAAATGATGATACTAAAAGAATGAAACCACGAAAGTAGCATTGTAGTCGATAAGGCAAAATGATTAGAAAAAATTAATAGTATTAATGTTATTGTTAAATAGTACGCAAGGAAAAAGAAAAAGGCAACCCGATAACATGGTGAAGCTATTTAAATAATTTAGCTGGATAAACATCATGAATTAAATAAAAATAAAATAAATAAATAAAAGTATTGGATTATTTTGTAAGAGGCAAAGGACAACAAGTTATAGAGATTGACCATGAATAAATCACGTAGAAATGTATTTTAATTTATATATCATTTATGAAATTTTTAAGTTAACGTATTGTATTTTCTACATACAACATTTTAAAGGCTTAAATTAAAAAAGAGATATTTTGATATTTTGTTTATAAATTTGAAAAAAAAAAACCAGCAAATTAAAAATCACACCTGTTGTTGAGTGGTAACTGCAACCCATGGCCACCAGGAACCTACTTTAAACAAAGAAGGCTTCAGACGCGACATCAACACTGAGGACTAAGATGGAATGATTCTCTATACCAATTAGACTTGAACACGGTAATGCCTACACTGTTGCTTACTGTAGAAATATGACTTCTAGATAGAAATGTAATCCTACCGCCTAGTGTACAATATTCATCATTGGTGAAAAGATACAGCTTAAGGCGCTACTCCTAGCGAAAGACCTTGAGCGTTCGGTCCTATACATTCCACGCGCCCTCGCTACAATATATCGCGTAAAAAATACGATCAAATATTTAAAATATTTTCTTTATAAAATCGAATTTTAGTCCTTTGAAAAAATCAAATGAATCAAAATGTTCATTAATATTTGCCTATCAATTAGTGTCAATCGCAAAATTAAATAATGCTTGCTTTATGAGGAGATGCATGTTATTAATGTAATATAGTTAAAAGAAATTTCTTTTTTGCTCAATATATTACGGGTTTCAATTTGGCAGGATCCTGATACAACTCCCGCACGCTCGTCGGTTAAAGATATTATATATTATAAACTCCTAACTTGGCCTTTCTTCAATACATTGCCAATCTGGTCAATAATCTTCCACCTAGGGCATACCTTGCCCTTTCTGCCAATCAATCATTACATCTTTGCATAATATTAATTTATTCGAATTTGTTCACTTTATACATATCACTCTACATTGGCTTTACACTAAATGGTTGGACACCGTCTCGATTGCTTTCTGATGGGCTTTTTATCATCATTATTCATCATTACAGCCCTTCACAAGTCCACTGCTGTACATAGGCCTCCCCCAAGGAATGCCACAAAGCACAGTTCAGAGTCACCTGCATCCATCGACTCCCTGCATGTCTTACCAGGTCGTCACTCCATCTAGTGGGGGGTCACCCTACACTTCGCCTACCGGTACGAGGCTGCCACTCGAGAACCTTTCTTCCCCAACGGTTGTCGGTTCTTCGAGCTATATGGCCTGCCCATTCTCACTTCAGCTTATTAATCCGTTGGGCTATGTCGGTTACTCCGGTTCTACTGCGGATATCCTCATTCCTAAGTTTATTACGCAGAGAAACCCCGAGCATAGCCCTCTCCATAGATCGCTGAACGACTCTGAGCTTCTTCATACGGCTAGCAGTGAAGTACCACGTCTTAGATCCATAGGTTATCAATGGCAACACACACTGGTTGTACAATCAAGTTTGGAGGTTTTGAGGTATGCCTGACGAGTAGATGTGTTGTGGTATCTCCCGAATGCTGCCCAGTCAAGTTGAATCCGTAGATTTACTTCTTTGGGTTTTACCATAAAATAACGAAAATCGGGCATAACGTAAGTTATTTTGTTTTATGAAATTAATTTAGTATCTTTACTTAGTCAAAAAAATGAAAAACATTAACAGCAGATGTATTGTTGAAACCTTATATAATACCTCGTCAGAGTAAATGATGGGGCTTGAGGGAGTATGTTCTAGTATGTACTCAGCTATCATAATATCAAAAGAAAAGCTAAGGTAAAACCAAACGGTACACATAATGAAAGAAAACAATCACTTTTGAAAACTTACTTCGTAACAAATATTCACAATAATACTTCAACTAATTGCACTTTCTGAAATATTCTTTAAGGTATAGAAAAATGTAAATCAATGCGTACTCGTTGAGATTTGACGGATCAATGTCAAGACCGCAGATCTGATTCGCTTTATAAATGATCTGGAACCGAGCAGTGGGACAACTTTAATACGATCCGGATGATTTCCAAGTGGCGCTTGACTAGCTGATAGCTCATGGCGTTACTTATTTCATTTTTTATTTTTTAAAACCCTTCTAGGATATCTCTAAACATAGTTTTTTTTGCATTTTTATTGATTTTTCAGAGACTTATGCTTTTAGTTAGGTATTTAGTGACAATCTTGAGCTTAAACTCAAAATCTACTATGTTAGAATTTGAATCTTGACCATATTAGGTTTCTCAAATTTTGTTTTTGTTTATAAATTGAGGTAAAACTCGAAATACCTGAAGAGCCGTGGGAGATCAGACTAAGCACTCGATATGAATTTCATAGTGCGCAGGCAACGTGCACCAATGATATTTTTATTGCAATTTTAATACTAACTTACTAACGTGCTCAGCGGAGAAGTAAACGAAACGAAAAATGAGATTATTATAGAATATTGCAAAGAATTTTGATATGCGTCACTTATAAACCTATAATTTTTTTCCTTGATCTTTAGACAAGTAAAGGATTATTTTATACATGCACAAAAACGATCGACAAACGATCTTACAGTTTATAGTTATAGTTTTAGTTATAGTTTGTGGCTACCATAGTTCGTAGACACCTGCAGCTAACTTCAAACAAATTAGGTTACAGTTGCGTTATCATCTCTGAAAACAAAGATACAATGCTTCTAAGCTTAAAATTGTAAAGACCTCAGACGCTCCCTTCAGACCGGAATAGAGTAGTTTTTACGTGGTAGAGCCACGCTGCAGCTATATTATGGTTGTAGCACGAAAAGGTCGAAACGACCGAGGTAGGACCACGTTCCTACGAGCGTAAAATTGCAGCTTATTGATGCTGTATCTCGTATGGTTAGTGTAAAGCACCGGAGACTCCTTTTACTGGAAACGAGGCATTCCATATCAGTCCTTAGGGATGACAATACATCTGCATTTTGGTTCTTAATCGAGGCTAAATGTAGATGTTTGTGGGCCACACTTACCATCAGGTGGATTGCGTGCTCGATAGTCACCTTTATTCTTTAAAAGAAAACAAGCGCTAGTATATAGCAGCAGATATAAATAAAGAACATTTTTGTAGTTAATATTATAAGTAATAGAAATAAAATAATATACGATAAATATAATATACAAATACACAAATAAAACGATCACAAATATTATATCAGTTTTTCTATATCGAAAGTGTAATGTTATACATCCCGTGGTTGACACCCTCAAGTTTCGATTTCACTTGCATTTTCTATTTTCGTCTCAAGTTAAAGTTTGCAAATGGCAAATGCCCTAAGGCTTTTTGACATACTTGTGCTAATTTAGTTCTTTTCTTGGTATCGAATAAAATAAAGTCATAATACCTTAGATAAAATCGTAAAACTCCTGATAGTTACTCCTGATAGTTCATTTAATCATAGTTTAGGCGTTTTAGGTAAATTAATAATTAATTTAGTTTTAGTGGACAGAATGTTATTTTAAAACGGTTGACTTTTAATACTTATAATAAAATAGTTCTATGTATTATTTAGTGATGTCGCCATACCACTGACGACATTCAAGCTCTGAATTATAATTAAAAAAAAACATAAACACTCACGCCTGTCACCCAGAGGGGTAGGCAGAGACTACGGACTTCCATTTGGCACGATCCTGACATACCTCTTTCGCCTCCTTTACATCCATATATCTACGCATACATGCTCGTCGGTTAAGGGTACTTCTAACGTGGCCCCTTTTTCAAAATATCGCCAATTTGGTCGATAAACTTTTTTCTAGGGCGTCCCTTCCCGACTCGGCCGTTCACATCTGCCATATAAATTTGCTTTGTCACTCTTTCCTCATTCATTCTTTCTACATGACCAAACCACCGAAGCAATTTTAATTATTTTAAAAACTACTAAAGAATTTAACCACTACAAATTGGTACCAGTGGCAGACTTAGAACATAGGCCTATGTTCAGCTGTGGACTTCTGAAGGGCTGTAATGATGATGATGATAAACATAGGCCTCCCCATAGATTGTCTCACAGGTAGGACATTTGCCATAGTTGCCACGGTCGGCAAGCGTGTTGGTAACAGCAGTTTCTCATGTTTAGACTTTACTAAGAAGACTTTGCTGTCCATCTTTAGATGTCCTTCCCCTGTCGCCTCTTACTACAACCACGAGATGATATGGGGTGGTGGGAGTTCTTACACCGACACTACACCATACCCACTACACACATACTTCTAAAAAAAATATGTCTCAGTGACGTTAGATCTCTATTACTTACATTCAGCTCCACGGTATAGCGTGACGTAAAAAATCTTAAGATTATTTGTACGGAAGAGTTGAGAGACCCTGCATCATTATTTTATAAAATGTACATATAATCATTTTAAATATTTTTAATTGATTTTAAGACCTCTGCCTTTTATCTTTATGACTATAAATTCCTCTTCTATCGTTATAAAGTTAAATTCTAAAGAAGAGGAAAACATATGCCTTTTTCCGCAGTCCGCAGAGGTAACAATGCATTTGTAATAGTAAGGCTATTACTTATTACTTGTTTGTAGACGACTGTAGGCGTCCATGGTTTGCAGTACCCACTCAACATCAGGCGGATTATTAGTTTCTTTATCAGTTCAGTATATAATAAAATTTACACACAAACAGACAAACACACGAATATTCTAAAAATAGAAAGCATAAAATAAATAAAGCTTTATTAAAGATAAGTATGTAATATTATTTATCTCTCATAAAGCACCTTCAAATTTCTAATAAAAACTTGCATATAAGTTGAAAATTTGTAAATATAACAAAGTCACAAACTGATTTTAGCATTCAACGGAGCTTTTGACGACAGTAATGAATTTATGAAACATGTTTGTATTTGAATTTATTATTTTGAAAATATTATTTTCATAAAACTGAAGTCAAAACTTTACGGCTCACTGGCGCAGCTGCTTAGCATTGAGTTTCGGCGCTGAGATCTCGGGGTTCAAATTCCGCATTAAACAAATATTTGTATGGCCTACAAATGACTAATCCAAGTTTGAAAATTTGTTTCAGTGCAATTTATGTTATGTAAACTGCCGTAATTTAAATTATTATACCGCCATTAGTTCCAAGCCATTATATTATGTTATTTCTGGTATTACCAAGAGTCAGCTCTTCTGACACCCACGATACGGAATGGGTGTTGGATTAACTTAAGCTGTTATCACTTTGCATAATTTTGACCTTTATACGAAGTTATATTAGCATGCGTAGTAGTTATATTAGGACTCCTACAGCAGCATTTTCAGTTAAAGCCGCAGAGTAGCGATTTTCACTTGATTTAACTTAATTTTAAGCGACTTTAAATCTAAGCTAGCTAAGACTTTATCAAAATTTCACAGGTGGTAAAGTAAATTAAGAAAACTGATCATGGCTTATATAGCTGTTTGGGCATGTTAAGGCTTGTGATAGCTGAAAACAAAAAAATTTGGTGTAGGGGTATATTTTTGACAAAGGGAAAAATATATTTCAAATCAGTTCATCTATAGTATAGCAGTTCAGATTGCAGGCAATGTGTATGTTTTTATAAAGAATAAGGTTGACAACGAGCACACAGTTCAGTTGTTGGTAAGTGGATGCTAATGGATGCACATCCATCATCAATTAAGACTCAATATACAAATGTGTTGTCACCCCTGAAGACTGTTCTACACTCATTTTATAAAACACGGCATCATTAAGCTGCTATTCAAGCCACTATAGTATAGCTAGTATACACAGATTTTTCCCCGGTTGAGCCGACAAATTCGTTATACAACTATACAGTTGTAGCATGTCTCTACCACGTATATAGCTACATTTATAGCTGGCATAGTATTAATAAAAAAGTTAACTTGCGTCTTTTAGTCGTCTTTGCTTTGCAGTCAACGTTCCTTCAACCAATGAGAGTAAACCATAAAAACATGCTAAGAGAGTTTATTTAAAACAAACTTTACATATTCGTAAGATGCAAATGCTGTAATATGTCATTATATCACGTTGCTCCACGTTTACATTTGTATTTTCTAGCACGTTTGACTTAAAATGACATTTCGTTTTAAATAACATAAAATTATATTTCAAAGAGTATGCAAAACGCATGTACAAGTGCACTAGAAAGAAACAGTTTTCTATTGCGACTTGTGTGGAAAGTTAAATGTGTGTAGTGAAAGTACTATGTTCAGTTTCAATTACTTAAGACTGAATGAATATTATTAGTGGTCGTCCAGAGGTTGAAATTCGACCGCTATTGAATAAATTTTCATGTTTCTATATTAAGCAAGCTGTGTTTCTTTTTCAACTCTCTTAATATGAATCGCAGCCAACTAGCTTAATTAGCCTTTTCGTTAACAGCCTAGCCTTTTTAATAACCAGCTCCGTTCAACTGCCACTAGTTGAATGATACGAGTCTTCAGCCCATGCGTATAATACAGCATTGTATCTATCTTGTAATATTAGCGACAGTAGCATATGGCGTAGCTGAGATGGTTTTGAGCCACTCTAAGGCCACGTACATTTATGTAATATAGCACACAGCGCTTAAATAGGCACAGATAAGTGACAGTACGTGGCATGGTCACCTAATTAATTTAATTCAACGGGATGGTTTAGGTGAACGGCGCCGTTTATTTATAAGGTTAGGCTGTTAACTGAAAGGCTAATTAAGCTATATATATTTGTCCTATATAAGAGACCTTATTGCCTGTATTAAACAGCACTCTACCAAAATGAGTTTAGTGTTTGCCAAAACACATTTCTGTCCACTCTGTCATAAGTGTCTTTTCCAAATCCATGAACACACGAAAAACTTTCTGACAATCTGTACACCCCATT